TAGACAAAAGAAAAGGAAAAGGTCAAAAAAAAAAAAAAAAAAAGGCAAAAAACAATTAAAAAAAAGGAGGTTGTTGACCTGTAAGGCCCAGCATAAAAGCTCAATATATTTGAGCTATAGTTATTTTAGGTTTATGTCCAAGATTTTATTTGCAGCCCAATTAACTCCTTCTGAATCAAGTCTAATTGCATTCTCGCACTTCATTTCATCGAATTTTAAATTTCTTTATCAAGATCGAATAAGTCAACGCGCATTACCTACTTGAATATGGGTCGGTAGTGCATAATGAGGCACTATGCCTTAGGCTTTTCATACAATCATTGGAGGGACCCATCTCTACATGGCACGCCTACCTCTTTAAAGAGTCATTCTTGACTTGGAAAGAAAGGATCTCAGAGTTGATCAAACAGTTTAGCAACACACAACGAAAGGTTGGAGTGCCCAAACAACTCAAACCCATTAAAAGGATAGTAACCTGTCACAAAGTTCATTACAAGGTAGCGAGCCCTTACTTTTGCATGCAACGAAGCGCGTAACATTTACTAGTACAGGGATTAAAGTGGAAGGCAACAAACAATGTAGGGTGAGACTTTTTTTGCTGGAATTCCATTGAAGTGAATAAATGATTCAAATATTAATAAATTTTATATTATTCGTAATTTATTTGTTTAATTAATAAATTTTAAAATATTATTTATGATCGATTATTAAAATTAATAAATAAATATAAATAAATAAAAATCGAGAATGTTTGTGAATTATTTATCAAATATTTTATTTATTTACACTTTCGAGTATAAATTAAATATGAATAAATTTTATTATATTTGAAATTTGTTTATTTTATTAATTACTTTTAAAATATTATTTATTATCGTTTGTTAAGTTTAATAAATAATAATAAACGAACTATAATTTAAATTATATCTTAATCATATGTTATTATTAAATTAATATCTTTTATTAATATTAAATAATAAATTTATCAATATAATAAATACACATATTAACGTAACATTAAATAAATAATAGATATAATATTTCGATGTATAACCGAAGGCAGGGGAAAGCAGGATAACCCCGAAGGCCCATCCCATCCTGTTCCGATGTTCGTTTAAAAAGAAACAAGATCTCATTTCTAACGAGTCTCAGGATGGATCGTAACCATTAAATTCGGGTTTTTTTTGCCATCAACACCAAGTGATGCAGAGCCCAAAATGGAAAACAACCCTACCAAATAAGAACTGGTTAAGGTTCCATTTTCGCAAAAATTAATTTTTAGAAAATAATTTTTATATTTTTTAATATTTATTTAGTAAGAAATTGATTGATTAAGGAATAATGATTTACCGTTAAATAAAAAATGAGGTTATTTTTTTAGAAATTGCCTTCTTTAAGAAAAGACAATTTTCAAGAAAAATATCTATAGGAACTTATCAAGCTTATGAATATAATTCTATTTAAATGGGATTTTTAACATAATTTTTTAACTTCTAATATTTAACTATATTAATAAAAGTATTTTTAATTAAAAAAATAAAAATAAAAATATTAAAATTCTTCTAATATTTTAGTTTTAAATATTTTATAGTTCTATTTGAAACCAAACTTTGAATATGATTTTTTAAGTTCAAACTTAATTTGATCTAATTTGAAATATTATTATATTAATAAAAATATTAATATAAATAAAATATAATATTAATAAAAATCAGCTTTAGTGTTTAATATTATTATTATTATATTTTAATATTAAATATATATTTTTGAATATTAACAATTTTAACATTCAAATACTAAAATATTAGAAATATTTCCTGATATCTTATGGTAATTGCGAAATATTACTGCACTTGATATTAGCGTAAGCCCTCGAGATTGCTTGTAAAACATTTTATAGTAATATTTTTCATGTATGACTACAGTAAGCCGCGTAAACCTTGACGGCCTATATATTTGAAAGATTTTTGTGTGTTTGGTAGTGTTTTGTGGAGAGAAATTAATTAAGTTTGAGTGTTAAATGTTTGATGCATTCCTAGAAAGCAATTCCCTAATTTTTCAGTGTTTTTTCTGAAGGTATTGTCTTCTTAATTGTCTGATTGTTTATGTTCACATAACAATAAAGTTTTCAAGTCTTATTCTTCCTGTGGTTATTTTTTTAACCTAAATTTTATGTCGTGTGCTATTCAAATGGATAGGTTCAAGTGGGTTCCGATTGAGATGTTTTCGGATTCAATTTTTTTGTATTAAAATTTATTTCGAGTTTGAATAGTTTTAAATTTGAATTTTTTAAAATTCGGATATTTTTAGAGTCAAATTTTTTTAAAATTTTAATAATTTAGGATTTAAATAATTTCAAGTATGAATTATCTTAGATATTGATTATTTCAAATTTGAATTATTTTGAATTCGGTTCTATTCAAGTTAAACAGATTTACTTTTTAGATGAATTCAACAAAAAATTTTTAAATTTTATAAGTTATAAATATATTTTTATAATTTCGAATTAATGATTAATTTTATTTTTATATTATTAAATAAAAATATTTTTAAAATGTTAATGTTAAAATTTTAAAATAATATATTTATATAAATATATATTATATATTAATTTTGTTTTTAAATATTATATATATTTTTTAATCTATGTACAAATACAAATAAAAGCTACAATATTCAAATTTCACATAGTTGAATAATAGATATTATTAAAAAGAATATTATTTTGACATTAACATTTACGTAATGGATATATAACCAATTGACCAAATGTTTAATTAAAATATTAAATAGTAGACATTATTAAATTAATTAAATAATATCAATAATCTAAAGTCAACAAATTTAATTTCTTAAATATAATTAACCTTAAAATCAATGAAGTATAAAAATTAATTGTATTAAAATTATTACTAATATAGTACACTTTTAAGTTATATTTTAATTTATTATCAATAATAATTAATTATATTCTCACTTTAATTTTAATTTTAATAGTTACTAATAAATTAATTAAATTAAATTAAATTATTTTTATCCAATATAAAAATAAAAATATAAAAATTGTGAAAAAATTAACTAATAGAACTGACGACATATGAAAAAGCCAATAGGCATTATTTTTTGTTTTATTTTGATAATGATTGTAAATATAATGAGATGATAGTAGTAAAAATCATTAGATATTAATATTTAAATATGTTTCAAATTAAATTTATTTTATAATCAAATTTAAAGATTTAACATAAATTTTATTGATTATTATTGATATAATTATTTAATAATTATCAATAATAACATTTCAAAAATATTTATTTTTTACTTATTTAAAAAATCATATAATTATAATTTCAGTTTTCTCAAGTTATATTTCAATTTTTTTTACAAGTTTTATATCGAAGCGATCTCGAATTCGGCTCATTACAGATTCGGGTTATGATGGATTCATATTGTATCAATTTCGAGTTTTTTGGATTTAAAATTTTTTGTATTCAGATTTTTTTGGGTTTGAATTTTTTTTGAATCGTCTAGGTTTCTATCTTTGACAATTTTTTATCAATTCGGATTGATCCGAGTTAACTCAAGGATTGGCATCAAGTTGACAGCTCATTTGCAGCAGACTACAACCTACTTCTTCAGCAGATTGTGCAAAAGATAGAATGAGAGCACTGGAGATTAATACAATTATACGAGGCATAGCAGATTGTTGCATGGGAAATGCAACTTTATTGGTTGATGACAGTTGACGGAACAAATGATCAAGATTAGGTAGTATTCTCATATCATGGGTGCAATCCTTCCTCAATTGAAAGCAAAATAATCAGCTTAGTTCAAGTCTTTGAACTCAATAATGATTGGTATTGCAGTATCTCACAAATTATGTTCAGTGGAAGGATTACACCCACTGGTTTACAGGTCCCACATATATGAGAGAAATCATGTGGTTAATAAACCGCATGACCTTTTAAGTCACCTAAAACTTCAATCAACCAAAAACACAAGACTAATTGTATTTGCACCAACAGGTAATGGCATGCAAGTAAATTAAGAGTCAAGAAAACCAACTAAGAGTTAGTGACTGATAATGAATTTGGTATCTCTAAATAACAAAATGTCATGATATTACACCACAGCTCTAGTCACATGACATACAAGGTAAATAGGAGTTCCTCAAGGCAAGGACTCAAACAAACAGTGCATTAGTAGCTCACAAGTTTATTGAAGTACTTATGAGTAAAATCCAAGAAAAATTTTAAAGTTCAGAATAATATTTACTATCTATTCATGAAAGTTAGCAAGAATTTCAGAATGCAAACTTTATTATAGTTGCAATACATCTCTTACTCTCATCAAAGGGAACAAGGTTCAAAATTCAATTCAAGGACTTTATACCACATTTTCTTCACAAAAAAGATAAAGGAAAGAAAGATGAAACTATTCACAAATGAACTTCAAAATTTCAAGAATCTACTAGTTCCGGTTGGGCTCACTAGAAGATTCACATTTAGTCATGTTTGGCACAATTATTTAACACAATTTCCCATTTGGCATCATGCCCTCAGCTACCTTGTCCACAAACCGTGAGGTTCCATAAAGCCTTATTTCTTCTAGTAATATTGAATAAACTCACATTAAAGGATCACATGCCAAAGTGATCCATGTCAATTGATCCTTTAAATGAACATGTACATATTTAACTTGTTACTAAACGTATCATAAATCATACAACAGTGGTAATAAAAAAAAAAAAAAAGCAAAAGACAAATTTGTTGCCTTCTTATATACACTTATCATATGAGCAGAGAGAATATAACGCTCCAATACCTCTGCATCTGTTCTTTCAAACAATGACAACCTTGGCTAACAAGAATTTAAAGAAGGGACTTCTCTAAATGCTTGAAATGATATAACAACTTGGGGTAAGATAAAATAAGGCTGACTCAATTCAACAGTTGTGATAAGAAATAAGAACACTGGGAATAAAAGTAGTAGTATTAAGAAACTACAAACAGGAAGATTAGATATTATGTCATAAAAACAAGTACAACAAACAAGACCACTGGTTACAATTCTACTATGGAACAAATAACATACAAAGTGAAGTTATTCTGGACGCAAAAACAATAAGAGAAGTCGGAATCCACAGAAACAAAAAAAAAAGTCAAAAGAAAGTAGAAAAATGAAAGAAGATCTGTACATGGATGGAAGAGAGTTGCTCTAGACAGGGGGAATGTTGGAGAAGGAGAAGCCTTTGTATCCTTTATATGCATAATATGCAAGCCTTGAATAATAGAAACCCGGAATGAACAATATGCAGCCCAGTATTCCAAAGAAAAGCCCTGAAAGAAACAATCATAACCACAAATTAACTAATCGGTCTTAATTGAAAAAAAAAAAAAAAACCTTTTTTTTTAGAAGAAAAGAGAGGAGGAAAAAAATACCATGGCCTCGGTCACCACCGACTCTGTTGACGGTCATGAAGATACCCAAGATGATCCCAAGCGTGCCAAAGACGAGAAGAGCGACAGCAAGGCCGATCTCCTTGAACGGAGGCCGATTGTTAACGGCGTAGGGTGTCCCTATCATGATGTCCTCATCGGATATCGAGAAGGCATGTTCTACGTACGCCATCTATAACCGAACAAAAGTAAAGATCTCTGAAAAAATTATTACTCCACTCCAGTATGGTATGCAATTCCTTTGCCGAGAGGAACTTGGATTTGGGTGTTGATGATTTTAACTAGGAGGTGGAGGAGGCGCTTGGGGTGTTCAACAATTTTAAGATATAAGCAAAGGAAAGGTCAAAAGTCAAAATTAGGCTCCTTGTTTTGTTACCTCTTACCAGTAACACAATTACCGTACGCTACTCAGATTCTATATTTAACAATACATACTAGTCAAGAACTGTTTTAACTTAAAGCACAAGGTTGCATGTGGTTCGCTGAATTTTATAGGTCAAAATACAAAAAAAAAAAAATTTTTGAATTATTCAAAATAATTTAATTGTCTTTATATATTATTATTATATCTAAATAAATTTCTTAACTTTTATTTTTTATTATCTAAATGACATATTAATATATTTTAAGATGTGGACAATAATGTGATAAAATAATATACGCAAATGTAAAAATAAGAAAATTTTAAAAAATTGATAGTCTAACAAAAATTTTTATTAATTGATACTTTGATTAGAATAAATAATTAAAATAAAATAATAATATATAAAATTCATAAAAAATGAAATATCTACATTTATATAAAAATTAATAAAAATGATTAATTATTTGATATCATATTCGAGAATAATTAATAAAAAGAAAATATATATAAGTAAAATTATTATTTATTAATAAAAAGAAAATATTCATATGTAAAATTAAAAAAGAGGAAATGTCTATATTAATATGAAAATTGAAAAAGAAATTAATAATTTGATACTATTAGTTTAAGTGTATATAGCAATCTAAGAAGTGATGAATTGAATTATCTACAAAATTTTTCCTAAATTGAATTTTAATTAAATTGAACGCAAAATTAAAATTAATAAAATTTTTAATGAAAATGTGATGCAATAAACACTAACTAATGGATTTGAAATAAATATAAATAATAGTGAAACTTAAAGGAGTAGAGATAGAAAAATCAAACATAAAAATTTATAAAAGTTTGGTTTTTCTCCGAAAGTACATATGTCTTCTCCCTTAGCTATTCTAATCAAGCACAATTCAAAATATGTTAAATCTTACAAATAGTTTATCTAAGGCTAAGAGTATAACAAATTAAAAACCTTTAATGGTTGTTTCAAAAGTCTCACAAATATGCTTAAAGGTTTCATTCCCCTTAAACCTACAATCTCAAACGAGACACAGGTATTTTTACAAACTAATAACCTCACTAATATTGAGTATTTGCTTAATTAAGTACAAAGAATGATAAATGAAAAACAAGTATAATTTGGATACAAGAATGGGAAGAATTTAAGTTAAAATCTTTAGAATGCTATTGAATTCTTGAGAGAATTAAGGTAAGACTTGGTACTTACTCTCTTACTTCACAAGTTTGTTAGAATGCTCAATTTATAGAAGAAATGAGTTTGTTGCCATTGGAGAAGATTGAGAAATGAAAATGCATGCTTTTTTCCTTTCAAAATAGTCATTAAAAGTTGTTAGGAACGAGGGGATCATTGGGTACATTAGAGGATCAATTAAGTCTTGAATTTAATTCAAATTTTGACCATTGTAGGAGAATGGATTGATCCATTTTAATAGGGAAGCGATCAGGTCAACTTGGTTTTGCATTTAGGGTGATTCTAGATGAATAATGTAGTTAGCTACATAGGTTAAATCATGTTTTGCACTCTTCTCACTAATTTGATAATATATTGAGTTATATAACTTCAAATCAAAATCCATTTAAATATTTAGAAACTAGATTTTATATACTTTTATCCATATAAAATTCAACATATTATTCGATGTATAAAAATTATGGTGAATTTCTAAATCTACCCTTCATACAGTTATTAGACATTTTGTATACTCTCTAATAAAAATTTAAAATTTTTTCTTAGAAAATTTGAATTTTGATTTTGTTTAATCTATAAAAAAATAGACTAAAACATTTTTCATCCATATAAAATTCAATTATTAAAACTTTGTAAATTAATAGAAAAAAAAAATTCAATGTTAGAAAAACTTGTTCTTACAAAACATCTTTCTCTAGTTAATACATTTCTCAAAACCAATATTATTAAAATTATATTGAGTCAAAGATGAATAAGTTTATTTAAAGAATAACAGTTAAATTTTCATTTAAACTCAAGTAAATAATCTTTAAAGATAGTTTTGATTTGAGAAATACAAAAACATAAAAAAAGTTTTTAAGCTTTTTAGACACATTTTTCAAATCAAATAATATTTTGTAAGACATAATATTTATTTAGTATAAAAAGTAATATATCATAAAAATCATGTACGAAATAAATCTTTTCAAAATCTTAAACATTTTTCCAAAATATTTTTCATTTCAAATATTGCTAGTATTTTTTTAATACTAAAAATGATATAATTTAAGAACATATACCAAATAAATCTTTTTTAAAATGTTAATCAAGCTTATTTAGCTTAATATTTGTTATTTCAAAATAAAGAGTAATTCAAAACTAGCAATCTCTCCCTTTTTGATATGATAAAACTTAAAGATAAATTTACTTAATGAAAAACTTTCTTTGAAGAATTTAAAATTTTTGAAAACCATTTTGAAAAACTCTCCCTTAAACAATGCATATTTGTTAGCAAAACTACCTTTCAACTAATGAATTCTTCATCCTAATCCATAACTCATAATCCAACCCATTCTAGCATATATTTTTTTAAGCACATACATATAAAAACATCCAACACTTATAATTCAACATACACACACATATTTTATATATTTATATTAAGGCATATATATATCTATTAAGCTCACACATATATATGTATATCAAAGCAAATTTGTCTACAAAATATTTCTCTCACTTTTTGTTATAGTAAAAAGGTGATCAATTCAAAACATAAGACAAAATTCAAGAGCAAATATTTTCAATTCAGAGCATAATTAATTCATGTATTCAAGTGTAATAATGCACAGCAAAATTCAAATACATGTATTCAAGCACAAGAGTATAAAAGTATTTCATTGTATCCAATTTTAGCATTTTAGCAAAATAGTTTCAAATTTACTACATAAAACTAATGAGCAAAAGGACAAAAAAATGATATACATGTTACTCATAAATCATGTCATTATAAAATATGCTTAGAATGTAAAACATCAATATTAAGTAACCATATATTCAAGCACATATATTAAAGCTCATACTGGTTGTTGATGATATGTTATCATATAAACGAATCATTTTAATTCAAGCAAAATTGTTTTATAAGGTTTCTCTCATTTTTCGAAATAAGAAGCAATTAATTTAAGGTACACACAATTTTGCGTGAAAAAGTATAAGCTAAATCAAAGATAGACATATATTTCATAATGAGAACAAGCATTAATGAAAGTTCAAAAATTCATTAGTAATTTTGTCCACTAACTTTCAAAGAGCAAAAATATTTCATGCATATGAAAAATTTAGTCAATAAATCTAAAATGATAAAAACAACTTTTCATAAGCATATCTTATCCAAATAAATTCTTAATAAGAACTATAGCTTATATATAATTAATAAGACATGAGTACTAATGAGCAATAAGGTTCATTTGTCATGTTATAACATAAATTATACAAGTATGATTTTCTAAACATGATGAACACATATGCTATATCAAAGAAATTATAAAAGCATGATTATCCAAATACATGTGGACATACGTTTAAATTTATTTCAAGTCATTTCAATGTATAACATTGTTCTCAATCCAAACATATAAAAGTATCTAAACACAATTCAAACATATATTTCAATTACACAAGCATATGTAAATACATTTCAAATCACATATAGCAATATACCTAAAAAGATACAAACATTTGGCATCATTTGCTACATGCTATCTCAATAGTTTTAATAAATGAACATGTATATAAATTTCAAATTATGAGTTCATAATCTATGAGTCAAAGTAATTTAATGATCAATAAATCAATCTATTTAACTCATAGGCATGTCATATTAAATAAACACTAATGCACCAAAAATCATCAAGCTTATCAAAGCAATCAAGAATTAGGCAAGAATACCAATCAAGATGCATTTAGTTAATCCAAATATTTAAGAATGTTAAGATAATTTCTGTTAAATAGGTTGGTGACTAATTTGTGCAAAGTGTTCATATATTCAACCACAAAATCATATATTTGCACATAATTTCTTATTAAAAACATTCAAAGCATTAGGATTAGTAATATTTTGCCTCCATCCTTATCAAGCTATGTTGTTGTACTCATTTAGCTTTGAATTCTCCAATCCACTTTATTTGAGCAAAACTTTTGATAAACTAGACTCGATTGATGAAGATACTTTGCTTGCTATACCTGAAACTCCAAAGAAAAGTTGAGTCATTTATGCTCATTTCAAAATCTCCTTGTATTAGACTTAGAAAAATTCTTGACAAGAAATATTCATTAGTAGCATCAACAACATCAATTGATAAAAATTATACCAATTGTTAAAAATGATTTTCATATTCTAAAGAACACAAAATCCCCATAAAATCAATTCCATAATCAATTTAAGGCAACAATAGCAACAATAGCAACCCAATAGGAATTATCAACACAAAAGCAATATATCACAATGCCACACAATCAAGCACAAAAGACAAGTATAAATTTGAATTTAGACAATAAGGATGATCATGACATTGATGAAAATATGAATAGTGCAATTGTTAAGGCTATAGGAAAACTTTGTTCAAAAGAAAATTAAAATCTTAAAAAAATTAAAATGTAAGAAAATAAATAAGCTTGGCAGCAAATGTTGGTCATAATAGAGGGGGATAAGGTGAAACATTGTGAAAATACTACTCCACTCTTTCTTATACAATCCTTATTTAGCAAATTTGTTCAACCAAGTCATTTTGATTGAGTTCCATAGTTTTAAGCCTAGAATTCATATTTTCAACCAAAGAGTGTAGGGTATTCTTTTAAGTCATGAGGACTTGTAAAGATCCTTATATATTAAATGGTGGACTAGAAGGGTCTTTTAAGGAACATCATGAATCTCATGCTCTTTTACCTGCTCAATTCTAGTATCACTATTCCTAATCCATATACCATTAGCATTTTAAGCGTATCCTATACTATAAAGTGTATGCATCCTAAGAATACTATAAGGATCATTGGATACAATC